TCCTCCGCACGCGCGTCGTTTGGGCTTATCCACCCCCTTTTCATTTTTTAGGGTCATCAGCTAATGGAGGGTCAAAGTGAGATTCCTTCTTGCGTTTTCATGGTTGGACGTTATAGTCCGTGGCTGCCGTCAAAGTCAAACCCCTTGATGCTCGACCGCCACGACAGCTTAAAAGTTGTCTACTCAACCCCTCTGCACAGGGTGCAGAAGAGGGTGTGGTCTCCAACCGCGCACGGTGGTTGTCCAGCGTCGAGAGATTAACCTTCAAGGCGTGTGACTTGAGTGTCGAATGCGACCCTCGAAGTTAACGGGGGCCGCACGATTATGGGCATGACGTAGTACGCCATCATTGCGACTGCTTGCGTACGTTTGCATTGCGAGTCGATACGAGTTAGCCCTGTGTCCGCGCAGTTTTATACTAAGTCTCGCGCGCGACGCCTATCCCGATATCCGCGTTGGAAAGTTACGGGTTGGTAACCGAGGGGCTACGAGCGTTGTCGCGTGTTTGTGTTGTGTCGTTTTGTGTGTGTGTGTGTTTTATTTTTGTGTCGTAAGGTAGTGTGCACGTGGTGTGCGGAATGCGTCCTAGTCGGTCGACGTTGGGCCGCGCTTGGGACTTCAGCCCCCCAAGATATCGGTTCGCGTGCGGGTCCGATAGGCGTATTACCTCGCGTACCCCCTATGCTACAGCGAACGAGAAACACCCTCGGCTGGTCCACCTTTGCGATTGCAACTGAGTAGCTTTCGTACTGTGGACTGGTAGCTCGGCGGGGATACACCCACCGAAGGGAGGTGACAACTCCCGTAAGGTGGAGGTAAGTTGTGCCTCGCGTAGGCCCTATCCTATCGTAGGGGCTCGCGAGGGGTATGGCTGGAGCACTCGGCCGGAGCGGCCTAAGGAAACTCCATTTGTGTGCTCGCGGCAAGGTTGGTCCAACTCTTGCGTGACGCGGCCGAGAGGGTCCCGCGTTGCCGCATGCGGTGCTGGACCGATGTGCGCGACAACGCCCGTCCCTGTTTCCTGTCCGGGTTTATCCCCGAGTTCTCGCGCGCCAGCCCCATACAATGACCGTGCAAATCCCCTACGCATCGACGCCGATTCCCGACAGATCTTCCCAAAAAAATATGAGGGCAGCGACCCACCCCTTCTTCCCTCTGGCATGCACCTGACCCGACTTACACTCGGGTTCACCCCCTCCCATTTCGAACTCCTTAGCCTTCACACAATCGTCATACAGATCTTGTCGATCCGATCTTGGCCGAAGCCGCGGGGACTTTCACCCTGGCAGGTACCCCGCAACATCTCCAAGGGCCATCCGGCCTTCTCCCCTCGCTCTCCCGACCTCGCACCTAGCCCGGCTCACGGCCGGGTCCATTTTCGGACTCTTCGTACATCATCCTTACGTAGGGGCCATGCAAACCTCCCCAATATCCTCACCATCCTAACGGCTGTCCCGAAGGACCCACGCGCGATGGCCTCCCACGACACCTCCGAGGGGCCGCGCGACCCTCCCTGGCTCGTCACTGGCCCGTACTTCGGCAGCTCGTGGGTGCGCTCGCTGTAACAGTCGATGGCCCAGGCCATCGGTCCAGGCAAGGGCAGCACCGGCCAACCTCCGGTATCCACTAAGGCACAGTAGAATCGAGACGAAAACCCAAAGATTTAGAATAAGCAAAAAAGCAGACGGGACGGGGCACGCGTCCCTCCAAAAAAAATCCTGCGACCCTGCAGGGCGGGCCCACGATCGGATCTCCTTAGCAAAACTACGGGGGATAGTCCCGCAGGACCCTCGACCCCTTAGCTCCTCCGCTGCTCCATCGCTCCCGCGTCGCCGTTTGCTGGCCTCGAACCTCACACCTCCACCCCACGAACCCGACACCGTAACCAATAGGGCTAAGCCCAAGCCTGAGACCATCGGACGCAGTTTCCCACATAAAGTGATACCGCACGACGCTTTGGGCCAGGACACCGCCCCGGCCACTCTTTCAACCCATATTTGCACGCACGGCCCCCAGGTGTCCGCATCGGCCTACCATCCTGCGGCATTGCCACCCCGCGCGCCAGCCTGCGCGCAACCACAGGTCGCACGTGCCAATCAAAGCGAGTTATCGCCCCCTAATCAAACCAGTCACCCGGTCCGGGTCGGTCGGCTACCCCGGCCGCCCACTCAATCAGAAACATCACACTCGCGCCTTAAAATTGTGCGCCCACGTACTCCCTACTGGGACAAGGCAAACCTTTGCCTACGTGCGGGCGACCCTTACATTTTTCCGCACGGGCACTCATAATCCAGGTTAACCGAGCCTTTCTGTCGCTTGCAAGAACCAGGGCGGATACCCTTGTAAGGGTATTCGCGCCGACAACTTACCGGACCATATTAAGCGACGTCCCTGTCGCTTTGCCAAATTAGAAAGTTATTAATCCATTCACACTCCAAATGCTGACGAGGTTAGAACCAATCCGATTAGCCGACAGACTCAGGGTTGAGGCCTCAATCAAACCGTGCCAACACAACTATATGCTGTCAGGGTTTCAACCTGGGTCTCCATTGTCCTGAAACCAGGACACCGGTGTATTGCGCATCAATACTACAACATAAGTTCTAAAGGCCCTCAAACCATCCTCTTCCCCTTCCGTCCTAGAAAACCGCCGACCTCTTGTTGGCTGTCCCAGTTAGCCTCCTTCTCGTAAACAGAGCCATAACTAGGGACGCAGGCTTTGAATGAGACCTGTGAAGACACTCTTGCCTTCTTTCAACAATTTTCTCACCATCAACCAAAATACATACATATAGTTTATAGCCTCTCTCAACCTTTTCTGCAGTCTAGTACAGAAACGCCAGGTCTCCATCTGAGCCCACAATAGCCTGGTTGATCGGGCCAGGTCCATGACCCACCACGTTGTTACCTTAGCGGCGGTATCCTCCCGTTGGTTATGCAACGATAGGCGTTTTTCCTAACAATCAGTCAGTCAGGATTCTCCAAAAGACCCGACTCCTATCCCGCGGAGTAATTTCTCTGGGGCGGGCAACTCCCCTTAAACTCTTGCTTCGCGGGCCCGCAGCCAGGTTGTGCCGGCTACCAGCCCTCCACTAGGGGTTGCACCCAAGTGGCACTAAACTTTACCGTTAGCTTGGTATTCCTCTAAACATATCTCAGAATTAGCACAGGTGGTCGGGCGGGGCATCACAAATCACAGGCCGCTGCGGGACTACGCAGGGGTCTGAAGGCATTTATCGGCCCTCCTATAATAGGCACGGCATCCTTCGCTCAATCACAAACAGTCTCCCCGCCGGATCCACAAGGCCGCGACTCCTGACTTGATCAGAGCCAGCAGTCGCCCATCCTGAGGCATCTCTCGCCCCTAAACATAACAAACAAACATGGTTCCCTCTCGTCAGGCTTTACCAACATAAACAATGCTTTCCGTACCATTCAATTTTTACCCACCCTTACTTGGTAAAGGGTGCCTCTCACAAAAGATTTCACAGCCATCCTTTCTCTGTATGGGAAGACTCTTCGCACGACCTCTTCCAAACCCATGAAGGGACCTCGATAACAATGCAATTCCCACCTTTCAGAACCATGAAGGGGTCTCAACTACCAAACAACTCAAACTGAGGGACCCCCTTCTGGGTCCCTGTACAACTTAGGCAACGGTGTTTAGTATGACCAAACATGCAAATTTCTGAATCCATCAATCCCGTAGGATTCTCACGGTTTTTCACAAACAGGCTGCACTTCCCCTCCTTATACTCCGCCCTCTCGTCCGCTTGCAGCAGACCGCACGAGTATACCGGAGGGTAGACAACTTTAAAATTTACACAATCATGCCCATAAGATATATCTTGTACATCTCTCACACAAAGCCAATCATACATCAGGATAAAATCACACATGTGAGAGTGATAGTGGTCGTCACAAAACAAGTCCCATAAAATCTCAACTCATGATACACTCAAGGAGTAGAATGCCTCCCTCAAGACTCAAATACAAACACTCAACTTAAACTCTGTCCATCTGAGCATGGCTCCCGACCCCACTGTACACCCGCGGAACACGCTCGGGGACACAACATCTACTCAAAACCTAATGGGTGCCTAACCCTCTGTCTCACCTAACTCGGGAAAACTCATACCCAAGTCTTTCTCAAACTCAAGTAGTCTCTGTACTGCGAAATCAAAAGTGGACTGAATAGCCCCATGTGTCCTACGACCAACCCTCATGCCCTAAGCCGTAGCCTACGAAAGAAAAACTCAAAGAAACCTTAATCAGCTATATGTGTACAAGCAGGCACAGACTCATCCTACCACCTCTAACGTATGCACACATCTAGGGCCCCCTCAGCCAACTTAAACATATGTACACCTCCAACCCGCCCCAGTGGGTGCCAATCACCCTGTCCCTACTGACACATAGACAGACCAGACCCTACTTACACAATTCCTCCTGGTTCTGCCTATACAATTGAGCCCTGCCCCCATCTGGAGCTCGCTCTACAATCCTGCCCTGCCTGTCATAGAACTTGCCATTGAACTCCGCAACTAGCCCCTCGGCCTTATCCTCAAGGAGTTCTGGGCAGTCCACGACTCTATGCCCTTCCTCCCTGCACCAAAAACAGGAGGTATCGTGCCACCTGGCAGTCTTCTTCTTTCTCCCCTGCGAACTCGATGTTGAAGGCGTCCCCGTGGTCTCAGTAGTCACCTCATGACATGAGGACAATCCCATATGACCCTGAGGTCTGGGCTCCAAAGCCTCAGCACCCTCACCCCCTCGTGCGGCTGTGCCCACTGGCCTGCAGTCTGGGATATCCAACTCTCGGGGGCCCTCCTCATCAGGCCCCTCTGTCACCACCACCTCATCCCCATATGCTCCTGACGGCTGAGAGCCCCCCATGGCAGTGTACCTCCTGCTGTTGCTGCTGCCGCGAGTCAGGCCCTCCTGAGTCCGTTTCCGTGGCCCAGGAGCCCAGCTCCGCCCTCAACTCTCCCAACCTTGGGGCAAGCTCTGGAGCGCCGAGTCTCTGAGGCCTCTCCTGTGGAGTGCCTATCCCCATGGCTGCTACCAGCTAATGCAAACGCGAACCTCTCCTTTCCGTGGACATAGCCATAAGCGACTCCTGCGCGCCACCCTCCTCCTCAACTGCATCCAAGGGCACCTCCTCCATTGGCTCGGCCTGTCGAGGGGCCACCACTGCTACTCCCTGACTCGGCGAAGCCTGCATCCCTCGGCCCTGGCCATTGGTACCGGCTCGCCCCGCCTGGCTAGCCTCCCATGCTGCCGAGAGCCTATCCACAGCGRCCGCCATCTCCCCAAATCTCCTCTCCCACTCAACCTCTTTGGCCTGGCTCCTCGCCCTCTCCTCGGCAAGCTGAGTAGTCAGGTGCTCCACCTCCAACTCTCTGACCCAGAGCTCATTGTTGAGTAGATTATACCACTGGAAGGATGTAACTGTCGTCTCACATACCCTCCGATCCATGCGCTCAATCACCTGCCTGGTCGCGAAGAACCCCAAGTCCCCCATCTCTCTCAGCTCACCGGCCCCCTCGTTTGCCTGTCCCGTCTCTCGTGACCTTTGGCGGGCTGCATCCCCATGGCTCTCATACCTGACCCACAATTCGTCGATCCTCACTCGTCTTGGGCTTGACTGGCGGTGTCGGCTCTATTCCTGCTGCCTCCATCTCAGCTTGCCTCGCGTGTATCTCATCCAGACGGACCCGTACCCGGGCGGACTTCTCTTCGCGGGTCTCTCTTGGGGTTCTTCTCACCCGCGGCCCCTCGCCTTCCGGAGTCAGCGCCTCAGCCCCCATCCCCTCGCTCGTGCATGGCACTGCTGGCGGTAACTCCGCTGGAAGAGACTCCTTGATAACTGGGCTCTTGGTCACATGCGTGGCCGATGGCAAGAAGGGGCGCTTCCACCCTTGCTCTCTCATACGCTCCCTGACCCTCTGCCTCTGCCCCCTGCTCAGGCATAGCGGCGGCCTCAGGGGGAGACTCCGGAATCTCCTCGCTGCCCGGCTCAGGAATCCCCTCTGGCCATGAATGCTGTACTGGCTCTGGAATTGGGGAGCATAGCGGGGTATCGACTCCAACCGTGATCACCTCCCGGCCCTGAGGTTGTACAGGATCCGGCTGCTCTGCTGCCATCTCAGGATCCTGAGGCTCCTCTCGGTCTCGCATGCCCGTCTCCGTCTCGAGGTCCAAAGGCTCCTCCAACGGTACGTAGCATGTCGGCTCAACTGAGCCCTCCCCCAATCGTAAGGCCACCCATCGAGATGCATCAAGATGAGTCGCTAAGCTTCGGAATGGTGTCTCTCTCGGTATGTCCAACTCCTGCGCTGATGGCAACGGTGAGGGTGATCTCAACTCCTCGCTCGTAATCCGCCAAAACTCAACCGCCCGGAGGCCACAAGCAGGGAACGACTCCTCTGCCAGTGCGGGCCCTGCGGGCTCATCCTCCCGCTGTGCTGGGGCCCTCCTCTTCTCTCTGGCCAGCCCCACCTCTCTCGGTGCCAGTTCCCTTGGCCTCTTGCTTCGTCGTCGTCTCTCGACCCTGGGCTCGGGCCTCTCATGCTGTGGCCGTCCGAATGCCCTCTTGAGCTGGGCTTGGCAGTCCTCCCAATCTCGAGCCCGCTCCTGAATCTGTTTGGCCACCGGCCTCTCTGCCCCCCTCGTCCAGATAAGTAGGGCCTGCACCCACTCCTCCCGCGCAATCCCCTGACTCAACATGTAGTGCTCATATGCGGGAATGAAATCATCCGCGTTCCCCTCCTCCAATCGAATGGGCATGCAATCGCGTCCTCTAGGGGAAGCTCTCAACCTCTGCATCCTGGCCTCCACATCCGGCCCAGTCAGGGCCTCCTCACATATCTGAGCGACAGGCTCCTCAAACCGCCCTATACCCCTTTAATGGTGGATCCTGTCCGCCACTGACCACCCTCTCTGTGCCGCATGATCCCGATATACGTCCAGGAAAAACTCTATGTTATCATCGTCGAACTCAGGCGTAGGCTCCCTCCTAGGCGGCTCGTGCTGCTCGCCTCTCCCCGCTGCTCCCTGGGGCCCCTGCCGTGGCCGTGTGTCCCTCCCGCCCCTCTGCATGACTGCCTTCGAAAAGTCAGACCTGCACAACAGGCGAGAGACAGCAACAGGCACACAGCAGGGTCAGCAACTGAGCCCATTGGCTTGGGGAAATCTCACATACACCCCACACTCATCCACCCCAATTTCCCACCTATCTAATCACCTGACATGGGTAATACCTAGGTGAGGCTCTATTCCTAATGAGATCTCAAGGTGCCTTACCTATTCCCTGGCCACAAACTTCTTCAGCCTCGTCCCCGACACCCAGTCCTGCCACCCGGTCCCATCCAACTCTTCAATTTGGTAGGCCCCAAACTCGCCACATCGCACGATCCTATAGGGCCCCAACCACAACTTATCTAGCTTCCTGGACCATTGTTTTTCCAGCGAGGAGTCATACAGCAGCACCGCATCCCCAACTTTCAGCGGATCCTTCCTTATCCGGGCCATCTGGTCCTATCTCGTCTTGTCTTCCATGCGGCTTCTCTCTACTTGACCACCGGCCTCTCGTAACCTTTCCTCAACGGCCTCCACCTGCCGCGCTCGTATATCGAGCAGTTCTTCAAAAGACAGGTTCACTTCCACGTCCTGGCACCTCCACGTCTTCATGAAACTTTCTATGGGAAAGGTGGCGTGCCTTCCGTACTATAGTATGGCTGGTGCATACTTGGTGGTCCTTTTCACTGTAACATTTTCCATGAAGAAAGCTGCTCTCAGGAACTTCGGCCACTGGTTAGGCTTCCCCTCAGTCCATTGGGCCAAGAGATTTGTGATGGTACTATGCCCCCTCTCCACCGGTGCATTGGCCTGGGGATGCACGGCAGTAGTATAATTTGCCACCACACCATACCCCGCAAGCAAGGTCCGCACCTCGTTACAGGTGAATTTCGACTCCCGGTCCATCACAAATTCCCTGACAAATGGATAGCGCAGGTAGTACTCTTCGATGCACCTTGCTTAAACAGGGCCAGTCTTTGTGCAAATAGCCCGACCGTCCACGAACCCGGTAAGGTTATCCTGTGCATCGAAGATATAATTAGTTTCATCCTCCCCGAGTGGCATGAACAACAAGTCCAGGTGTACGACTGCACCTACTTCCCGTTCCAGCCTGGGGTGCAGAGGCTCCCCAGGCCTTTGTGCTGACCTCTGTTGGCAAGGTACACAAGACTGGCAGTACTTGATAACCATAGTCAGCATTCCGTCCCAATGGTATAACTCACTTATCTTTGCGCACGTAGCACTAACGCCTCGGTGCCCCCCTGCTATACCATCGTGTAAGGCTGCTATGACATCGATCTGCTGGTTCCTCCCACATACGATCCTCTTGGGGTTCTCGACTTGTCGTTTTATAAACAGATGGTCATCTCTCACTACGTAGAGATGCCTCATCTTCTTGGCTTTAGCACTCGCGTCCCTATCCCTTATCTCGCACGACAGGAGTAACCCCAACTCCCGATAGATCTCGTCATACTCTTCTGCGCGGAAGGCCTCTCTAATTTCTCCCTCTTCGAACTCGTCGTCCTGGCTCTCAGGAATAAGAAGTTCGCCTTCCTTGAACCGGTTGAGCTCCTCTGGTTAAAATTCCCCTGCAGGAGCGTATTAGTGAGCAAGTACATCCCTCTCATTAGTTGCTCATGCTCCTCTACCTGGGTTGGGCCTTCCTCTATCGTCCTCACCTCCTCCGCCAGACTATGTGTCCCTGCCAATGCCAACTTCATCATCCAGCCAACATCCCTACTCCCCCACGGATCCTCTTCCTGGAAGGGCTTGAGGACCAACTCCTCCTTTCGCTCATACCCCCTTGGTGCTAGCCATATAGGATGCGTGACGCAGCTAGGCACCCTCAACGACCACTCATTTATATGGAGGCGGACATCCTCCTCCTGGTCCAAGAACCCGTCAACAGGTGGGGTATCCTCAATCGACTCCTGACTCGCCCCATCCAAGTTGATACGGCTCAGCCCATCCGCCCTGCTCTTGTCCCCGGGAATCCTCTCCAACTCAAAGTTAAACATCCAAATGTAAGTCAACCACCTTGCGATGGTTGGGTCAGATGGAGTATAACTTTTCAGGGAACACGCAAGCGCAGTAGGGTCCACCCTCAAAATGAGCCTTCTGCCGAAGATATAATTCCGGAAGGTCCTTAGGCAATGGAGCACCGCCAACGTCCCTTTCTTGAACTGCGAGTAGTTCCTCTCAGTCATATTGAGAGTACGACTTTCAAACCTTAGCGGCCTCTCCTTTCCATCTGCATCTGTCTGGATCAGGACCCCCCCTAAGGCAGTTGGTTCGGCATCTGTCTCGACAACGAATGACCTTTCCTCTGTGGCCTCATAATTTGGCGCTCCCAGCACTAAGCCTCCTTCCTTGAACTCTCCCTTCATCCTTTCCACTGCCTCTTCCTAGTCGTCGCCCCAGACCCATTCCTGACCCTGATGCACAATCTTCCTTAAATGCCTTGTCTTGGTGGCGAAGTCCTACACAAAACTCCTCCAAAACCCACAGGTCCCAAGGAAGCTCCTCACGTCCGTTATTGACTGGAAGGGGACTGGCCACTCTAGGATCTTGTCCGTTTTCTTCACATCTGGCCTCCGCCCTTTCTCTTTGTAGACAGAGCCCAGAATCGTGGCCTCCCTCATACAATGCTTCGACTTGGGGCCGCTCGCCGTCAGGTTATATTGTTCCAACAGACCTAGAACCTGATTGATATCCTGGATGTGCTTCTAGACGAACCGCCTCACTCCTGGCACCACTTCGTCTTCCTCCTTCTCCTTTGGACCCTTGACCGCCAAATCGTCAATGTAGGGCTGAGTGATATTGGACTAACCGTCTCCATGACCCTAATCATGTGCCTTTGCACCATTGCCACCGCATTAGTCCATCCCTGAAGGGCCACATTCATATGCATCAGCCCCCTTGGCGTATGCATTGCCGTCACCGGCCTATCCGGCGGGTATACAGGAAATTGGTCATACCCAGAGTAAAGGTCTATAAGCGAGATTATAGACCTTCCTGCGCATGACTCTGACAGGGCGTCCGCGTTCGGCAATCCTCCCGCGTCCCGCACCGTCACCTCATTCAAACGTTGCAGATCCTGCACCCATTGTAGCGTCCCGTTCGGCTTGATAAAGCAAAACCAAGGGGAGGCATACGGTCAACTGGAGTAGTCTGCCACGTACGTCTGCATTTTCCCGTCCAGGTAGTCCACCACCTTCTTCTCCTCATCCGGATTCAGATATCGCGCRCCCCTCAGGTTCCACRGCTCGTGTRGGACRGTATGGATTCGTATCATTAGGATCTTATCCACGTCCAACCTCCCACGCTCGTCATCATTAAACGCATACGCGCAATGCCTCCTCTTCATGGTCTCCACCATCAAGGCCCTCTCCTGGGGCGAAAGGAAACCAGGCTCGCCAATTATCAGCCCCTCCTCATTCTCTTTATTGATGCGGCATGACCCTGCCTGCGCGCGCTCCCGCATACGCCTTATCAGCCCTCGCTCCCGCTCATAATAGGCTTCCTCATCCTCCGTGACAAGCACGGGGACTGGACGACACTTCCTATCTACGGTTTTGTACCGCCTTTGGGAGCCCTGCTTAAGCCCTCCCCTAAAAAAGGCCGACTTGTCGTTTGGGCCTGGGCCATCCCAGGGTCCCCTTTCCTCCCGCGAAGCCGATAGATCAGCTCCACTTCTCCCACCTGAGGGCTTTCCAGGACCTGCTCCCTCAATGCCTTTATAGCCTCAGGGTCTGCCATATCATGCGCCGCCACCACCTCCATTGCCATATTCACATCGTTAAGGCTCAGGGACAACACCTCGCCAACTCCTTCCTCCTCCTGCTCCTCCCGGAGTCTCCGTCGCGCGTACTCAGACTCCTCGAAGGTGAAGGAGCCGAGGTTGAGCCTGTTCCTCGCACTTCCGGACCCTGTGTTCCGGCACTTAATAATTTCGTAATTCCCGCAGGCCGGAGATAGAGCTAGGATCATCGTCCCCTCATGCCTGTTGAAGACCAAGGTCTCCGTTCGGCAGAGGAACGACCCCCCAGAAGGATAGGGTGGTCGACATCGGGCATGACGAAGAAGCACGTTCGCGCCCTTACCCTCCCGATTTCCACCATCACATTAGACGAGGTGCCACAGAATATGGCCTTGCAGTTGGCGTCATGCAGCACACCATGGTAGGAATGGTCAACCTCCAACCCTAACATAGTCGCGTCCCGCTCCCGGATGATATTCATCTCCGCGCCCGTGTCCACCATTGCGATGCTTGACTGGTCCCTCACCTTCAAGTCCACCAACCCACACGCCACATATTTCCAATCCATCTTAGTGCCCGCCTTTGTCCACTCTATCTCCCTGGAAAGAATTGAGCTTAGGTGGACATTGGGCACTAACCTTCGCGAGAGCCGCCCTTTCAGCTCGCCACGGAGCCTTGGTGCCGACGCCAAAATGTCCTTTAAATTCATCAAATCGTTGTGGCCTTCCAGGAGCTTATCTACCATCCGCTCCACGTCAAAACCTTCCTCCAGCCAGACTGCGTACTTCTTTCTTTTTGGCACGCCATCGTGCAGGCTCGGCTCCGCTCCTCCCTGAATCCCTCTCTTCTTGGCACTCTGCTCAGCTCGCCGATGTTCTTCCTGGCGGAGCCTCTCATCCTCTTCGCCATGACCCTCATCTTCCTCTTCTTGAACCTCTACCACTTCTTTCCTTCGTTCATGCTCAGACTCCTTTCGAGGAGGCGCCCGACTAGGTGCCTGGCTGGGCCCTTGACTGGTGGTAGCCTTACTTTGGCCCCTAGTCTGCGCGGCCTGGGGCACCTTCCATTTGACATAGGGGGCCTGAAGGTCATCCCTGACCTAGGACCTGCCCCGGCCGTCACCACGCTTGGACACCCTTGCGGTCCTGATGATGACTCCGGGCCGGACCCATAGAGCATTACCTCAGGAAGATTCATTTCCCATTCTCGGGCCTCTTCGCACATCACCCTTAGCCGTTCCTGATATCTGCCGACCTTTGCAAGCAGGTCGTCCATCCTTTCCAGGATGGTCGAGGTTGACTCTCTCACCACCTCCTCCGCCTCGTCGTCGGACTCAACAACTATGGGCTCCTCCTTTATAGTCCCCGCCTTCARCCGCTGAGTCACTTCCTCATTTTCATCCACAATCTCCTCGACTCTCACACCCGGGTCTTGCCTTTCCTGCCATATCCTAAACATTGGTGGGGCCGCTGGAGGCCCTGCCGCTGCTCGCCTGGGGGCTTCCAGCCTCATTCCTCCTGGGTTCTTGGGATCAATATGTTTTCCCCACCGATCATATATGTCCCCGTCCATACAGGTGGAGATTAGTCCTGCCAGCTCGTCGTCCCGCCGCTGTTGGCAGAATCGTATGGTGTGGCCCACCTCGCCACAATGCTAACAAGTTGCGTTCCGCCAGTCGAAGCGGGGCCTCCCATACCCTTGGCCCCCTCCCTGGCTGCCTTGGCCACTTTGGTTCTGACCCCCTTGACCATTCCAGCCCCCTCCACGACCTCCACCATTTCCCCCTCGCCCCCGGCCGCCCCCTCCTCTACATCCTTGGCCCCGGACCCCATTGCCCTGCCCGCCTTGTCCTTGGCCCCCTCCCCGGCCCACACTAGCTTGCGAGGCCTGTTGGGAGGGCCGCGGTTAAGCCACGGGCTGGCTTTGAGTCGCCGGGTAGCTCGGGGGGCCCATACTTACTGATGGGCCCGAATAGAGGACCATGTGTCCCGTGTGGGCCTGACTCCCTCCACACGAGACACAGTGGTTACAACTGGGCCAGGGCGCGGAATGACAATGCGGCACCCAGTGCCCACAAGCTGGTGGCAACCCCATGTGCGATGGTCCTGCTGGCGTTGGCGCGGCCGAGGCGACAGGCGGTGGTGCGGCAATGGCTTAGGGAGCCTGCCCCTTCCCTAACCCCTGCCCTCCCTGCAGCAGATTGCGCTGCTTCCTCTGGGCCTTAGTCAGGACTTGGGAACCCATCTCCCCTCCGCCGTAGTCTTCTCGCCCAGCCTCCTCATCCACTGCCCCTGACGCCGGCCTCGGGCCACTAGCACCTCTCTTTTCCGTATCTCTGCTTCGTTATCATACCCTAGTGTCGCCAACACGTCCGTAACAATTCTCTTCACCCCTGGGGTCTCGGATGCGGTAGCATCCCTCTCCTTCCTCTTGCGCCTTTGCAACCTCATTTGGTGGTGCTCCACCTGATTCAGGCTCCTTTCTTCCACTCCCTCATCAATGGTTGCCCAGGTGAGCCTCTCGCTCCCTTCCCCATACTTGGTCAGCTCTGTGGCCTCCGAGCCCGTAAGCAGCCCCAAAAATGTGGCGCACTGTGCCTCGTCAGAAATCCCGTGCACCTTCCTAGCCTTTTTCTTAAACTCGTGCACGAACGCCCCAATGGTAGAGAAATCTTCCTTATTCATGGCCTCCAAGTCGGCCATGGTCAACAGACCGTCCCCCAGCCTGTACTTCTTTCGCATTAGATCCCCAAACTTTGTCCAACTGCCACTGGCGGCATCCACTACCTTAGTTACTTCCCGATGGTGACTATGCAGGACATACCTCAGGACCCGCTGGAGCTTGACCTTATCTGACAATCCCACCAGCGCCTGTTCCGTTAGATCCAACCAGTCAGATACCCGATCCCCCTTGAAATGGAATATCTTGACCTTTGGGACATTGCTCGGCGCCCTTTCGCGCTTGTCCAAGGCATCGATGAGGTCGTCGAGAGTCACAAGCCTCCTCCCACCGTCAGCCATCTCCTCTGGCATTTTGGCCAACCGCCTTCGACTTCAATCTTCCTGTTACAAAAGACGATGGGACAAAGGACCCCACTCAGCGACTCAACCCTTCACGACCCTATCGGGTTTGACCACTTAGACACCCCATACTCTAAACCTGGCAGACACTCCTTTTCCTATTTCCCTTAGGCTCACCTAGATAAGGCTAATCCTCACCATAGAACTTCCTCACCCACTTGCTTCATTCAAGCTGTCGACCATGTCACCAGTCAATCAATCATTCAACCCACAGTCGAGTAGATCGCCATACAATTCATCTCATAGTCCTTCTCTTACTCACTCATGTGCCTGGTTTCACTCTTACTCCCATACCCGGATGTCGTTCCAACAGGGACAATGGTAGGCTTCCGTTATCCCTGGCAACGACGCCACCTGTCGAGCGCATCAGTCCGGCACCGCACGCGGCGGCGCGGGACCCTCTCGGCCGCGTTACGTAGGAGTTGGATCAACCTCGACATGAACACGCAAATGGAGCTTCCTTAGGCCGCTCCGGCCGAGTGCACCAGCCATACCTCTCGCGAGCCCCTACGACAGGATAGGGCCTACACGAGGCACGACTTACCTCCACCTTACGGGAGCTATCACCTCCCTTCGGTGGGCGTATCCCCTCCGAGCTACCAGTCCACAGTACGAGAGCTACTTAGTTGCAATCGCAGAGGTGGACCAGCCAAGGGCGTTTCTCGTTCATTGTAGCATAGGGGGTATGCGCGGTAATACGCCTATCGGACCCGCATGCAAACCGACATCTTGGGGGCCTGAAGTCCCAAGCGCGGCTCGACGTCTCTCGACAAGGACGCTGTCGGGCGCATCGGTCCGGCACCGCACGCGGCAGCGCGGGACCCTCTCGGCCGCGTCACGCAGGAGTGGGACCAATCATGTCGCGAACACACAAATGAAGCTTCCTTAGGCCGCTCCGGCCGAGTGCGCCAGCCATAGCTCTCGCGAGCCCCTACGACAGGATAGGGCCTACGCGAGGCACAACTTACCTCCTCCTTATGGGAATTGTCACCTCCCTTCGGTGGGCGTATCCCCGCTGAGCTACCAGTCCATAGTATGAAAGCTACTCGGTTGCAATCGCAGAGGTGGACCAGCCGAGGACGTTTCTCGTTCGCTGTAGCATAGGGGGTACGCGCGGTAATATGCCTATCGGACCCGCACGTGAACCGACATCTTGGGGGGCTGAGGTCTCAAGCGCGACTCGTCGTTGGTCGACTAGGACGCATCCCACACACCACGCGCACACCACTTTACGAAAACAAAAATAAARCACACACACATGCACATACAACACAACACGAGAAACAACGCGACAACGCTCTTAGCCCCTCGGTAGCCAACCCATAACTTCCCGACACAGAAATTTGACAAGCGTCGCGCACGCGAGTTAGTATAAAACTAAGCGGACGCAGGGCTAACCCATATCGGCTCGTGATGCAGACGTACGCAAGCAGCCGTAATGATGGCGTACTATGTAGTGCCCATAATCGTGCGGTCYTTGTTAATCTCGAGGGTCGCATTCGACACTCAGGTGTCGGCTGACACGCGCCTTGAGAGTGAATCTCTCGGCGCTGGACAACCGCCATGCGCGGTTGAAAACCACACCCTCTTCTGCACCCTTTGCAGAGGGGTTGAGTAGACARCTTTAAGCTGTCGTGGCGGTCAAACATCAAGGGGTTTAACTTTGACGGCTGCCACGGACTACAATGTCCAACCATAAAAACCCTAAAAAGCAGACAAATGGGCCGAGGGCCCCCTCTTATTCCAGCCAAGCTCATGATCTTTTGGGGGTATCCTCTCTCTCCTTGGGTGATGCTCATGGCCTACAATGACCTCAAGCATTTGCGTCTACGTGCGAGCCTCCCAATCCCATAACCTCTGGGCGTTGGGGCGGCGAAGCATCGCAYGCAGRATTTTTACATAAGGTTGCGCGGCTGCTGGTTAGTCCCATACCGACCARCGATGCCTGTCATATGTGGTAATCGCGGCCCCGGCCTCGCGAACCCCCACAGTAAAKACACCCAAGTATACACACATAGGGGAGATAAAGTTGCGACGATCAGTGCTCACAGACCACTACGGGACTCCTTACATCCATAAGTATATATATGAGATCGCAGACAACCCCAAATCAAAATCCGAGCCACAAGGTCTACCTACAATCACATCAAAGAATCGAGMAGCAACCAYGCACTACACGGAGTCAACCCCAACCAATCTTCACACTCATACCCCTTGCTTTAGCCATGCARACCCCAATCTCCCRCCCAACCAACCATAATTAAATACATAGTACCTTTGTTAAATGACCATTCAATAAAAGTTCGGGTGGAACCCTCAACAAACAATAAAGTCACCATAGCTAAARCCTTTTAGATTGGGTGTGACGAGTGAGTTGGAATTGAGTCGTAGACCGGCGAATCGACAACCGACCTGTTATCAGTGATAATAGAAGGTGATCCTTACAGGATCAACCTGAAGCTAATCCAAGTCCTGAATTGAAGTCCAACGAAAGTTTGTATCGTAAGACATGTCAATGTCCAAGCTAAATTATCAGCATATGGGGGATGAACCACCATAGCACATTCTCACTCAAAGTTATCTGTCAACCAAGTCTAACTGTACCTCTAAGCAGTGCCCAAAGCAAAGGTAGACTAACGGCAGGATCTTCCCTATTCAGGGTGGATTGCCAGAATCGYCACCTGTCAAAATATAATCTAACTCCTYTAAACTAAGAAAATTTGGGCAGCGTTTCCCGTAGGAAAAGTGCCTTTCCAGAATTTATATCAGCCCGAATACGAAAACAGAAATAGTCTTTGACTTTCCAAGGTCCAATTTTATCTAACTCCCTGAATTAGCAAAAAATTGGGCAGCACTCCCTTTAGAAAATGAGACTTTTCAGATTTTTACTAAGTCATATATAACTTTAGACAAGTTGAACTTTGACAAGTCAAAATTTGACTAACTCCTTGGATTTACAGAAATTTTGGCAGCGCTTCCCGTAGAGAAAGTAGCTTACCAAAATTTATACAAAGCCAAGTATAACAAAAAATCCGAGAAAATGCGAAAGTCGATCTAAGTAAAAAAACTTAGCTCAGAAAATGCAGGAATCGACCTAACTCCTATCGCTCTAGCACGAGGCGAGCCTCTAAAGCAACTACCTGTTAACCTGACACTCTAACCAAGTAGTAGCCTCACTCAGTCTCATGTAGGCCAACCCAMAAAGTTAGTACTCTCACCATCCCAAGTCAAACTTTGCAAACAATAGTTCGTAATCTCTCGATACTTTTTTCCCTTATACCCGACTTACATAGGGCATAAAGTCAAGCCATCCAATCTTATGGAACTTGCCTGACTCAGCCATTGAGTATACACGAACAGGTTGCACAACTACTTCTCTCTTCCTTCTGGGCATACGACTAGGTCGTTCATCTTAGAACAAGGCTTAGTCGCCCATAACTGTTTAATATCGAACTTTTATATACCTCTTTGAGTTTGGTGTTCAACAGYTGGGCATAAGACTGAGTCGTTCATCTTAGAACAAGGTTCARCCTGCCCAGGGTTACCTTCAATTATCCTCTTAGTTATACTCTCTTCATTTCATGATAAGCTATAGCCAGGCCGTCCAATCTTATGGAACCCATGCCTGGCTAGCCTGTTCATAGATAGGATAGTATAAAATATAGCAAAAATTTAACCTTTTGGGTTCCAACATGTGCGAGGCTTTGGGCCAGACCGTCCAATCTTATGAAACATATCTGGTCCTCTGCCATGTTCGTTTCTCTCCGACCCCACTGTGTGCAGCATGAGTCCAAGGCTGTCCAATCTTATGGACCTTCCATGCCCTCAGCAAGAATTATCCTCTCAAAATAAAACAGAAAGGGGCTGAGCCGTCCAATCTTATAGACTTGCTCATACCTCCTCAACCAAAAACAAAAGAAACATAACAAAATCGCAACCAAATATGGCAACCAAACCCTCCAATCTTATGGTACAGATTTGACCCCTGAAAAGTCAACCACAGTCAAACCCTCACAATTCAGAGCAATCAGGCCGCCAAGCTTATGGAACTGGTCTGACTCTCCATGCAATTCAGAAATAAACACAGCGGTCAGACCGTCCAATCTTATGGAACTGGTCTGACCCCATAGGGCCAATTCAGGCTCAAGCAAAACCACCATTCACCCACCCTTCCCCCAGATGCAACCCCTTATGCTCACAATCTGCCTTCAGGCAATCAACAAAAACTGAAACTAAGATTGCGCACACATTCCTTTACTTAATCTGAGTTGTGTCCTGTCAGTCAAACCAAAGTCAAAGTTGGGGTGCATGCAATACACTCAGTCAAACATAGCAAGACGTACAAGTAGGGGTCATAACTGGGTTTATAAAAGAGACATAATGGTTAAGTGCCAATTCCCTGTCTCCAGAGCCTCGCCTAGGCTCCGGCAGAGCTCCCGCAATCGGTGGGGCAACCTCCCACAAAGGCCTTGGCGCGGATTACGGGTTGCAATCCGACCTGGCGCCTTCCTCTCAGAACCAATGGACTAGACTTAGAGTAAGAAGAGCAGAAAGAGATGGGTTTGAGACTCTTAGATCCAAGGAGGGTGCTCTCAGACTCACAGGAGAGGACCTTCAAACCTTCGAACGCCTGAGGGCCCCGCAATGGGGGCCAAACGTAACAGCTTGGTCAACCCTCCCGGCCAAATCGCTAATCTCAATCCCCCCGGCGAACCCCCAAGTCGCAGCAATAGCCCCGCCGCTAGACTCAGCCACTCCCCCAAACTGCGGCTACGACCCCCCCTTGCAGTCCAATCAGCAGTCGCCGACAAATGTGGCCCTCCAACAGTGGGTTACACCCCATAATCGATCAACAACAGCAGCTGCTCATAGCCAAACAACAGCAGCTGCTCGCAGCTCCCAGTAACAGCCCGTAGCCGCTCGTCGCAGCAGTCTGCGCAGCCAGCAATAGACACCGATCACAGCAATCCTGCTCCTCAGCCTAGGTGCAGCCCGCATTGGCACCCCGCAACCTGATCAGTCAGGTCAACCAGTCGAAC